TGCTCCAAGGCAGCTTCTAACATGTGGCTGGCACGTGCCTCCATGGAAACCCTCAAAGCAGTACAGATAGATGCTCCTTCGCATGTGTAAAGCGGAGTGGAAGTTGAAGGAATGACGGAAAAGATGTCCTTCTGAAGGGCAGGACTGCAGAGTGTGTTCAAGTTCACAGCAAAGCTCTAACAGCTATCCTGACATGTTTGTGACTCTGAAAGTAAATAACCTCCAGAGTGTGGCTTTTGGGTTTAAGCTCTCCTCTCATTTTGTGACTGGAGTGTCACAAATTGTCAGGCTTGTCGTCCAAATGAGGTGCAAGCTCAAATTTAGATTGTTTCAATTCAGTTTAGTTTAGTTTGTTTATATAGCGCCAATTCACAACAAAAAATAAATTCACTGGACTATTTGAATTTCTTTTTTTTTTTTTAACTAATAAGATTCCATGTGATATAGTGATATTTATGGTTTTAATAATAATAAAGCAGTTTGTAAAACGTCCAACAGTTTATTTTTTTTTTGTTTGTTTTTTAGTTTATTTCCCAAAACTGCTTGAGCTAGCCATCTGGCCATTGGCTTCCTGTGCAATGCCGCTCAAATAAGCTTTAGATTGCTGCAGACTCTAGCCTTTCCCCCTTTCACTTGGATTCCCTCTGGTATCTTTTTTTTTTCCCTACATGAATCAATCAGTAAACGGAAGAAGTTGTGAATGATAGTTGCCACCACCAGTTGATTTAGCCACCATTTGACCCATAACACTTGTAAGCTTCATAGCGTCGAAATGGCGTTTTTTTCTTCATAAATTAAATCTTTAGCTTGTCAGACACAAGCTGGTTAAATATGCAGTATGTAACTTTTATAAAACACATGAAACTGTCACCATGTTCTGTCCTTGTGTGTTATGGGACAGATAACTTGTGAAAAGATCGATCTTATCCCTGAGCTCGTAGCTCAGAGCTACTAGCCAGTCTGAAGATAGGCACAACTCCCGGCCAGGAGAGTCTTAGCTCTGTTGTTAATCTACTCATGTACTGGCTGCTAAATGTGCTAGTGGTAGAGAACCAACTTACCATTACAGGAAAACCCTTTATCCACCGTTATCAGTGCATCAGCTAATTAGCCTACGCATTCATTACAGGCTTTGTTAGCTGCAGCACAGTAGAGCGCAAGCCAGGTGGAGCGGGAGTGGGGGCATGGAGCGAGATTGGCGGTGCTAAGACCCGCCTCCTGGCTCTGATTGGTTGTTTCTAGATAGCGCGAGAAGGCAGAGGAGATCGATTTTTTTTTCACAGATTATCTCTCATACCATACTGTCACAATAGTGTCAGTTTCACCAAATATGTTAAAAATATATATTTTTTATTAAAATTACGTATTGCAACTTTAAAGTAAGTATGTTTAAATAATTTTGGAACTGACAAGTAAAAAATTGACACCCAGACATACTTTGTTTACAAAGAAAATTCTATGTTATGATTTTGTTCTTCCTTGAAAGTATTTTTGTTGCTGTTTTTCCATTTGATCTTACAATATAAACGATTCAGCTAATATGTATTTACAATCTGAACATTGTCATTGGTTTTCATTCAACCAGAAAGTTTGTTTGCGGTATGAAATGAGACAGGCATCACTCAAACTTTTATAAATCAATGTAAAAGAAGAAATGGTTTGGAAGAAATGATCTGATCCGTCTTGATTTACACGACTGCCCTACCTATTCAGAGGAAACATACTAATACAAAAAAATACTTCCAAAACACTTTAAAACCTAAAAGCATAAGTAAGCTTACTTATGAAAAGGTGTTAAAAGGATTTATCAAAGTCCTTTACATTACAAAAAGACTGATGCACATCATGTTTGTGCAACTGGTGCTTGGTTAACTATGTGGCATATTTATTATCAAAACAACCCATCCTGTTTTTAGTGCATAACTTATGAACACAAGTTAAAACTGTTCAATATCACCTAATAAAATATATTTCTTAGCTTTGTACTAACTTTATATCCTTACCTCCAAATGTTTTCTCAGTAAACATATTAAACTGAGCATGTATAATAGGATTACATGCAGAAGTTTTTTGGGGTTTTTTTCAGTTTTTGTACAAAAAGGAGCTGCTATTAAGATTTTTATTTTCTAAAATGTGATTTTCTTTTGTGGCCACCAAGGGGCGCTAATGAAACACAGATCTGGCGGTCATGTTTCATCCAATTTAACAAAAACAGTATCATTCAATGTTTAGTCCTGAATACAAATTATTACATTATTAGATGAAATTATTATTAATCTAATCAGGTCTAGTTTGTTCACAATGTGTCATATAAATATATCAAAGTGGGATTGTGTAGTTTGGCTTGAAATAATGTACACCTTCTGTCATAACTAGATGATTTTTTTTTTTCTGGAAAATCATTTAAACATAATTTTTATAACAGTCATGAAGCCAAACAATAAGAAAATAGTGAAAAATAAAAATTAAATAATGCATTTATTTTTATCACGACTATATATCTAGATAAGACAAGGCATATCAAATAGATGAAACAATTTTCTCTTTTTTTCTTTTTGATTTTCCACAAAATAAATAAATAAATAAATAAATTCTCTGATGTGATTTCAATACATTCCTGATCAAAATCTTGAGACTCAGTGTTCCCGTTTTCTTCTGGGTTATAGTCAGGCAAAAATAATTCTGAAAGAAGAAATAGGCGCAACTCACAGAAAGTAGGCAAAGTATTAGAAACACATGTTAACTTAAGAAGTCTAAATCTTCACATAAATATTTCCCTCATGCCGTTTTGTCAAAAGCGGTCACACCACTGTAACTCTAGGCAAAAAGGCTTTCTGGCTTTGGGCATGGCAGGATCGTTGGGATCCACAGGCAGGATTTCTGATGGCAAAGGTTGGACGCAGTACGTAATTTTAAATCTCTTAAAAGTTCCTGAGGGCCTAAGACCTGGTTGTAATTCAGCAGAGCACCCAGATACTTGTCATTTTACCCCAGTCTTAAGACTTGGAGCAGGAGTACAAATATGTAGTTTAAGTATTTTGTTGCTGTTTCACTGGCTGCAGGGGGAAAAAAAGGTCTATTTGTATGGATATGTTTAAATCCCACGTATTCTTCGCCAGGTGAACATTTAATGTTGTTAGATCAAACTTGTAATCATTATCATTAATTACTTTGTAAATTACCTTTCTGAAGTACTTTTGTTGGAAATGTTCTGTCAATGTAGCTTTTTACAATGGATTTTCTTCAGCTTTTTAACACTAACAGTCTTTGGTTGCGTAAGCCAAATGTCAGGTGGATAATTATTCCACCAGGTAAGATGTTCAGTGATAAGATCGCTCTCTCTCTGTCCCCCTCCTTGTCTGAATCATTGTAGTACAGTGCAGTAGAAATGTGTCATACACAGTGCCCACTAACAAGGCCTTAACAAGCAACCCACTCACCTCTGTCTCTGCAGTGACAACCAACACTCTCCTTCCTTTTTTTTTTTCCCTCCTTCAGATGACAATCCAATCACGATACGGTCACATGGTGCATTATAATCAGCAGGCGACTAAGCAGACAGGGTCATGGTTCTTCACTGCTTGCTCAAATATTTGAAGGGCATGATAGTTACAGTCTTAGGATATTCATCTGTAACAACATATCGCCACTGCTATAAATAGTTGCAATAAACAGAACCGGGGATAAAAATGTAAATCAATTTGTTTTAATCCTGCTAACAAAAACAGGGATTTACAGGAACATTAGTAAGAAATGTCAGGTACACCTCTTTTTTTTCCTTTGGGATACTTCCTATTTCTCTTGGTTCTGTTCCATCTACAGTTTTTATTCCCTCATTATGTTTGTCAGATAAATGTCATCAAAAATCTCTGTCAATTAGTCCAGACTGGATGCATTGTGTTGTCCCATTTTGTTACTATTGCAAGTTTGCAAGCCACAGCTAATATCCTATCCCAATCTCTGCATATACATTACTTCATAAAAGGTATTAATAGTAAGGATTTTCTTTTCACAGACTATCTGTCTCATATGTTACAGCATACTGATAGTTTTTTTTACAGATATAGAAAAAACTATTTATTTTGTAAAAGTTATATTTCACTGGATTTTTCTTTCTTTTCTGTAGCTTAAAACAATTTTCTTACACATTTGTTGTAAAAATCGGGGTTGTAAATACATATTCTGTACTACTTCTTCTATAAGTTGACTTCCAAACAACATTCTTCTTTGTGGAATTTAATGTAACAACTCAACAAAAAAGGCTCCAGTTACTTTTATTCAACACTATTTATTTCCAACAATCAACATAGTTTTGCTCACATATACGTTGTATGTAAATTAACCGTTACTCCACATCAACAGACAAAGCAACACGCTGCATTGTAAAAATAGTAACAGAAGCAAACAAACTAGGAGATTTCCCACCAAACCGTGACCTCATGCACCAAGTTAACACTAAATAGAACCAAAGGAATGGCATGGCAGTTCAAATGGTTTTAAGTACATATCGCAAGTACAGACTCACTTTATTAAAACAAGTACCAAGACTATGTAAAAATAAATAACAGTATAGTCTGTATAAACGCAGGAATTGCACAGACTTAAAATGTCTGCATACACCTGTATTTCTAATGAAACATCGTAAAAAACAAAACATCCATTCTTGCAATCATTCTACATGCAACATAAGACAGTGTGCATCTCTCCTTTCCATAGCTGTTACTAAATGCCTGCATTAATTTCATTAAAACCATTTTTGAACAACATTCAGCAGTACTCAGCAGGAGCTTCAGGTTGATCAGTAGTTTAATTTAAATTTTTGCTGAAGGCTACGGAGAAGGAGGAGCTTTTAGGGAATTACAAGATCCTCCTTGGCTACTACTTGTAGTCCCCTGGTACTGTAAGAAACAGAAGAGAAAGAACACAACAAAACAAAAATTAATGAACAAGTAAATTAAGAAAAAATTTATTACACAAATAACTCATAGAAACACATAGATAATGAGAAAAAGCACAACATTTATTTGATATACACATTTTTGTTTTGAACATACAAAATAACTTACAACCAACACAGAATTGGGTAGTAAAAGAAAGCTGCAAAGTTTAGCCTTTATTTTTATTTTTTAATCAACTTTCTATTCTGACTGACATCTGCAGGTGAAAGGATGAAAGTTTGAAAGTTATGCACCTCCAGGTGCATATTTTTGTGAGAATGAGTGATTTGTGGAAATGAAAATAAAACTTTGGCTAATATTTGGTTTCTACACAGGATTCAAAATACAGCAGCTGCTGAGGATATAGAAAAAATACAGTACTATTTGTTGTGATTCCAAGGACGTCTTAGTTTTTTTTTTTTCTTTTTTATATTTTTCAACGGTACCAAAAAGTTGCTGTCTGCATTGAATTGTTGAAAGTGAATGAAACTCAATTATCATTTCTTTTCTTTTCCTACTCAAGTTCAGACTTTATAATCACTTTATTGTCCACAGTCTAGGAGGTTGTACTTCTTTTGTGGAGATGGTTGTTATTTGAGGTAATCATATTTTAAATTTTATACTTATTCTTCCTAGAGAAAAACATTCTCACTTTTGTCAAATTTGATACATATCTTAACATTAATTTTACGTCTTGTGTTAAAACCAGAATGTATTTAAATTATGGCTTCTCTTCCTGAAAAAGAAATTACTCAATAATATACAAATCTTGGGGGGAAAAACCCCCATGGTTTAATCATTTGTAGGACCAACTTCAGAGAGAACAAAATTAAATAACTTTTTTTATATATATAATGTAATCAGCCTCTGCATAACAAAACTGTTACAATGTGTACAATAATGTTTTCTTTTGTTGCGGTTTCCAGGGATTTATTTTTGCAGATATTTCTACAACTATGCCACTACAACACCTTTTCTTTATCATACTTTCTGTTGAAGATTTGAAGATATCCTGAGTGTCATTAAACTGCTGTATGACTGGAATCAGCTTTAGGACAAACGGCCTTGTTTACCTTCACACTTACATTAGTATTCTGGTAAGTGCATGTGGTTTATGTTTCCACATTGGTCTCTGTGTCTTAAGACCATTGTTCCAAAGACATCTAATGTATTCAAATACATACTGAAAGAAGTATGTACAAAAGCATCTTTTTTAGAGAAAAGATGCTTGTTTGTTCTCAACTTATGTAGACAAGCAAAGAGGAGACTTTTTTGGTTTTATTTGTGAAAAACTAGGAAGTGAAAATATGTACTTGTTTCATATTTCTATCTTTTTTATAAGTTTGAAGTTTTAAATCTTTTGGGCCACTTCAATTCCTAGAAACTCAATAATGTGCAAACAATTTTACTGTTGAAGAAACGGTACAATTCAGGAACTGGGAAGAAGAGTCAAGGTTTTGTGGAAGATCCCAGTTTTGAAATGGTTAGTAGAAAACAACTGAAGAAAAAAAAAAAAAGAAATTTTTGCGTTTGTAAACTGGTCAGTCGTCCATGCCTGGAAACAGCTGTCACATCCATTATAGAAAAGCCAACTCACCTCAACAAGAGGATGCCAGTGGGCGACAGGTTTCCGTGGATATGTGAGCATTTCACTCCAGTGTTCTCGACCGAGGCTGTCTGCATCATTGCCGACTCGACACACACCAATGACCTCATTATGACCCACGCTACAGGCGCAGGGGGAAGAGAGAAGAGAAAGAATGTAATCTCAGCTTGCCTTGCATTCTGGGTCAATGCCATGTTACGTTCTTAATGAGAAAACTTTCTGAAAGGAAAGTGTTAAGATTGTTAAAAAAAAATGTTCAGACTTTAAACCATGGCTTACACATCCCCTAAAAAAGGTTTCAGTGTAGGTTTAACTGTTTATTGTGTTGTAATTATTAATGAAAGATATGATGTAAGTTGTAAGCTAACCGATCATAGTCCATCACGGCTATTAAAAGGCTGATCTGCTCAATGTTTTCTGGAATGACATCAAAGACAATAGCCTCGTTGTAGACTGGATTCAAGGTGTTCCTTTTCGTAGATGTCTTCCTTTTCTTCAGTCTCCGACCCTCACACATCAGAGAAACCTTCACATATGGATCTTTTTTAAAAGACAGAGAAATGTTTATGTTATGCATTTATTTCTTTCCTGGACAGCAGCGCAACTTTCTAGGTCTGATTTCATTTACCCGATGCGCCAGTTATATCCATGGCCTTAAGATTGCGAGCCTGTATCATGGTGATGGTCAATCGGCCTGCTGTAGGCAAGTAGCAGAGGGAGAACATCAAATCCCCAAGGTCCACGTTATCCTAAAAGACATCAGAGACACATTTACTCTCACCTCGGTTTGAATCTTCGTTTATTATTCCTGTATGCACTGGAGACAAAGCTGAGGAAGAACAGCAGGAGTGTCTTGACTTTTATTTACAGTGATTTTCATGCTTTTTTTATTTTTATTTTTTCAAAATAAAGAACCGTGTCCTATGCTTGGCTCAGATAAACCCTCCCATATTTCAGCTAGAATGCAGACTTCTGCTTAGATGCAGCTCACTTATCACCGGCACTGAAAATAGCTCCACCAAGAAGTGAGAACCATGGCAGCAGACAAAATGTGTGGCGAGCACTACTCCTACACTACAATCTCTCCCTGAGTTATTGATGTGTTTGTTTAATTTTATAAAATGTCAGCCCATTAAGCATTTAAATGCTGTGGACATCCATCCACCCGTCCAGCCGTTCATGCTGATGATAAAGTTCAATCTTGCAAATGTTTTATAATTTCAGTGGTAAAGTATATCCAGTCCGTGCAATATTACGTGTGTGCATCTTTAAAAGAGTGAAAAAAAAAATCAAAACATAAAAAATACTGAAACCACATATGTGTGACAGAGCAGTGCAGTAATTTACTATGTGATTCCAGAGTTATTGTTTTGTGATCATTGCAAGTTTTCTCTATGCCAACAGAGTTTTCATAAACTAGAGGAATTTAAACAATTGCTCCAAATCTATGCACACCAGTTGACCTATACTTAAGCTTTATCATGGATAAAATGATAATCCTTTCATTTTTGTAATTAGCTATAGCGAAGCAAAGACACTATCTGAACAGTAATGCAATCTTAACTGGGAAGAAACATTCACATAAAGCATAACGACCAGAGGAGCCTCAAATCTGTGACTTTAACAAAAGTCACTTTTAATTTGCAAAAACTTAGTTTACAGACTTGATGTCACACTGTAAAGACTCAAGACTCAACTCAGACTCAAGGTCTGGGATTTGAGTCTCATGAACAATCTTTATTTGACACAATCAGAGGTGAAACTAAGCCAGTAAAAGTAGATCATTTGATTTCAATGAGTAATGCTACCCCCCCGAGTTACCTGCATATAAATGATTGTTTGACATGGTAATGTTATGCACAGTAAATACGGTTTCTGTTCACCGTTTCTGCCAGGACGTGCCAGTAATTACCTTGAGTTTCCAAGTATGTTTGGTTTTACTCATTGATGCGACTCTAACAGATATGTTTGTTTTCTCCTGTGAAAGTGAAAGGGTTCTTGTGATTTATTAACTCAGATTGTTGATGTAATGGCTTGCTCAATTTAGCTGTGGCTTCACAATAATTAACCACACAGATGTCGCTCAAACTGAACTCTGCAAGATGCAAAGAGTTCAAATAAACACGCTTCCCATTTGATACAAGTGGAGATTTAACGTGAAATGGTGCCGTCCATATGCTACGAATACAAAAATAGATATGCAATGCACATTTATGTATGAAGTGGGGGAAATATAATTTGTAATTAAAGCAGTTGAAATTTATATATTTCAGATATTTAAATAGTAATTTCAGCAAATGTAAATACTGTATAACTGTGTTAAATTAGGCTTTAGAATAATTCACAGCAATTCTTCAGCAATTTATGACCTAGAGGCAACCTGAAATTATACAATAGATACAAGCATAAAAACATTTTCAGTCCAACATTTACAATTAGGTACGCCTAGGACTGTCATAGCGTTAGAGGTTCTTAAAACACTTTTTATGTTTAGTTTGACGGGTGCTCATACAAGGGTTGAGATTGCTTTGTATGAGGTATTTTTATTCAGAAATTATAAATACTCGAGTGTTATAATACAAAGCAAGAAAAAAATATACCACTCAGGGTACACAAGGGTATGAATCTTGAATAATCAGAAATTGATAATCAAACACAGCCAAGGATTATTTATTTATCTATTGACGTATGGTCCAGATCCCACAAAGAACCTGCGGGTCTTACATGCTTCATGTCCCGTCAACATGCATCATCAAAATGCACACAGGTAAACAATTTCAAAATCTGCTCTAGGATCCAGCTTAGAAATCAAATGCCGAGTTTTTTTTTTTTTTTTTTTTTTTTTTTATCATT